CGCACCCGTCTCGCCCGTCCCCGGCCCCTCGGCCACCGCCGCGCCGCTGTCGCCCTCGCCTCAGCACAGAACACACAGCGCAGTCCAGTCACCAGTGACGGTGCCCGTTTGCTCTCACTTCGCGAGCCGAGGTCCCCCGCCCGTCCCGTCGCCGTTTGAGTTTCAAGGGTTTCTGACCCGACGCGTGCCGCGTGTTCAGGATCGCGGTGAACGGGCTAGGGTAGGGTGAGGAGGAGCATGTTTTGTTGTCGGGCCGTCGGCAAAGCCTGGAACTGTCGCGTTGCCCCTGCCCGTCTTGCCGTCGCCCCGAAATAGGCTTCCTCTTCGTCTCACTTGTTGACGACATCCGCAAGTACCACATTTCCTCCAACCATGTCTGACGAAGGATCTGCATCTTGTGAATCTGCGGTAATTTTCACTACGCCTCAGTTCGTCCTCTGTGCTGCCCTATCTTGTGCTGAAACGGGCCTTGCCCGACTTCTATGTGGCAAGCGTACCTAACCTAACAAATTGATAGGCCTTGCTGATAAGTGGTCTTATCGAGATGATATTTCGAACACATATGTGTCGTAATTTTGTACATGTTCCATTTCGTCGTCTCGAGTTCTTTCACTATCCTGAAGTGCGATGTAAAAAATTTCGAGAACGTTGAGGTTATAGTTAGCGAATCGTGCTTAATAGTTCTTGTCTTGGCCCTCAAAACAAACTGTTTTTTAGTCTAAGGGCACAGTATTAATAATGTCATGTTGCTTAATCTAATGTTTATTAAATTCTACAACAAGCAATAATTTTTGCTATGTGGTTGTGGTTTGAATTTTAACGCACTTCTTTGTTAACAAATAATTGTATTTGCTTTGTTACAGATTGGGTGTGACACCTCTCAAAATTCTGACATTAAGAATGAGAATAGCATGGTAAGTTACTGTATCCAATCCCCTTTTTTTTTCTTCAATTCACTTTTGTTGTCTTTGAATTATTTAGTATATTTACTGTTCATCTCTGTTGCCAATGTAAGAGAACCAAGCCACAAATAACCTGAGGAACTTTGATAACACTCTAACCCTATTGTTTTCTTTAATTCTATGAAGGATCAAATCAAAATGGAAATGCCGGATATGATGGATGATTCACTAGATGGTGGCCCACCTTCAGTTGGTTCAGGTGAAACAATGGGACAGACCATTTCTATATCTGGATCTATTTCCACACCAGTTTCTGCCAAAAAGGTAACATTGATGAGATTGGGCACACAACCTTGAAGTCAGGGAAAAGCCAGGGAATAAAATATTGGTGAATGTTGATTTTTGAGCTTTCAGCTCCGTTTTCAATGTTTTTGGAGACTAAAAGTTCTATTAATACCTTGAAAAGTCAGGGAACTTGAATCTGAAGCTGAGTCATAAATCAGTTCTCATGGTCACCCTGGATATATGCTGTCGTTCAGTATGAATTGTACAGTTTTAATTTTCTTTCACGGCAGTATTTTAATTTCAAGTAAACATTTTTTATGTTAACAGGCAAAGAAAGATGGCAAGAAATTAGTTACCGGTTATATTTTGTACTCAAGTGATGTTAGAAGAGCTGTAGCTGCTCAAAATCCTGACTCAACTTTTGGTGATGTTAGCCGGATTGTTGGAAATGAAGTAAGATTCAACACTTATTATTTTCAATATCATCAGCTTTTTGGTGTCTTCCTCTTCCTTACTAGACTGTAATTGTAACATGTTTTTAACTTCTAGTGGCGCAGCCTGCCTCAAGAAGTAAAGACTGCTTGGGAGGAAAAAGCTTCCAAAATGAATGAGGAAATGCAGGCCAAACATGCTGCTATGGAAGCAGAAGCTTTAAGTAAAGCTGGACAACTTGGTCCCAACCATGTTGTGCCTGTCACAGAAATGCTCTGGGAGTGTTGCTGGGATACCTGTGATTTTCAATTTGAGGACATCTCTGATTGCATTGAGCACTGTGTAGGTTCTGGTTTAGATCCTAGCGGACATGTACATACGTACTTTGCTAACCAGCCTTCAGGTAATAATATTGATTTCAATATGCCTCATTAAACTATCATGCTTCATTCTCTCAATATCATTTTTTTTTTCTTTTTTGAACAGATTCTGAATGGCAGTGCCAGTGGAGAAATTGTGGTAGGATAAAGAAAGGTGCTCAACCTTTCCCAAATCTCCAACGTCTTGCGAGGCATGTGAAAGAAGTTCACATTCAAAAGAGCACTGGTAGGATTATTCAACTACACGAACGTAGTAAAAATTTTATTTTGTCACGGAAGCCTCGCCCTCCAACTCAGCTGAATAACACCAATCAGCAGCCTCAAACATTTATGAATCATGGGCGTAAGTGCTATTTTCTCCAGTTCTTTTTGTATTTGCTTTATTTTCAGGCGTGTCTTAACTCATATGTTCTTTTTGTAGATGCAAATGCTAATCACGTACTGGGAGGGCAAAATAGAAATACACCTTCCCCGCTCTCACAATATAATAACAACAATGCAATTGTAACCCAACCACCTAAACCACTAGAACCACTGTTCGTATCTGTACCACCAAAGCCCCAAAGGCTTCTTCATTCTGAAGCTTATATCAAGTAAGTCACTTACCCCCAAACTCTTTCTTTGTAAAGGGTTTATGGTATTGATTGTGATGATTTTTCTTTCTCAGATATATTGAAGGTTTATCAGCTGACAACAGAACTGTGAACAACTGGGAAAAACAACTGAAAGCAAGGCCTGAAAATACTTCACTTCCTGATCAATCAAGACTTCCTGGTCACTGGTTGGCGAATGGTGTTGGCAACCATGGTACTATGGTGAACGCGCTATGGACACTACGTGACTTTATGGTTAGGGATGCTTTGGGCATCTCAAAACTTGTCTGACATCAAGCCAGGGCTTTGCCGCTTCGCACTAATGGCAATGTCCTGAAACGTTTGTAATTTTTGAAGCCACTTTAATAACTGCAATATACTAAGTACAAAGCTTTTGGGATGAGTACTTATTCATACTGTGTGCAATGTGAAATTTTGCAAATGATGTGACTGATAGTTTTTCTTTGTAAGTTGGATGAATTTTGATAAGATTTTTAAAGTAAATAGTGTATGTAATATGCTAAACATACGTTTCCCGTTATACCTGTTAGATTTTGGTTAGTTGTTATCACTCATCTCATAATTTTCATTTTCATCTTACACTGCAATGTATGGTGATAAAGGGGAGGTTCTGTAGGGGAGGGACAATACTTAAAACTTGGAGCAGCCTGGTCTCCAAGAGTACCCCAATTTGGTGTGCCTGTGGGTTTGCCTTAAAGTACTACAAGTTACCTTTCATAAATAAGCTGTGGTTCTTTTTATGAAATGATATTTAGTTATTTCTTGAAATGTTCCTGTAACCCACTACCTCTGTCTATCTAGACCATTTTTTAATTTATTCTGTTGAGATGTGTAGCGCTGTTGCGTATTTACTCTGCTCTGTACACACTGATAACATATTCATGTTCGTACTTGCCTCCATTAATGGAAACTTGCATCTATCAAATTTACTGACATTGAAACATGGCAGGAAACACTTGTTTGTGCACCAGTGACAGATTTAAAGGTTTGCATGTTTATAATAGTTATATATGTATTATATATAAATATATCCTTTAATGAATTTAGATCTGAACCAGCTAGCACAGAAACTGCCATTGTAATGTTATTTAAGTGATCTTAGTTTGTTTTCTTTCTGTTTTGGTCATTTTGACAAAATCCAATTATTGTATAGTAATGAACTTCACCCGGTTGATTAAATCCAAGACCAAACTTTGACATCCCAGCTTCATTATTTTCCCTCTTTCTTGCCCTACACTTTCCCAAATAAACATGCACATTCAGATAAATATTGTTTTTATTAATACATACATTGTGAATTTTCAATACAAAATGTTTGGCAGTGAATGACGTAACAGTTAAAATAGATTACATGGTACCAAAACAAACTATCCACTGTGTTGAGGAAGCTCAGTCACCTTTTCCAACCTATTCAAAAGCCCAACTAAATATCAATGGAGATTTGAGCAAAGCAGTTAAAAATAAAAGTAAACCTTTACTATATAGTCTACCATAGAAGACATAATATAAAATATAAATGAAAAAAAAGAAACAAAACAAAGAGTATTACTAGCGTTGAGACATCATTCTCTGCATGGAACCACCAGGAGACGTAATAAGAAACTCATAACTCATGGAACAGTTGAAAATGGACCAAAACGGGTGACGTCAGCGCCCCTGCCCGTGCGCGCCAGCAAATGTGTACCAGGCGGACAGGGGCGGCGAGGAGGTGGCCCCGTCCCGTCGACACTGGCGTGCGACGCCGCCGCTCCCGCCGGATGACGTGCGCGAAATGGCATCAAGCTGCACCCTCCCCTTCCCCGCGCCTTTCTCCCCCTGCTTTGTTCGGGAGAGAGGGGAGAAGTGAAGGGAGCTGCGCGGTGCGGCGCGCGGCGCTCCTAGGCTCTCCTGCCCCCACCCCGCCCCGCCACGCTCCATCACGGCGCAGTCGCAGCTTTTCGCGCATCCCCCTCCGCTCTGCAGCCCCCCCCCCCCTCCCCCCGCGCTCAGTGCGGCGGGGTCGTGCTGTCTGCCCTGATGTGCTGGGTGTGCATCTCGTCGTAGGCGATCGTGAAGATGCTCCTCTTCTCCATGAGCTGCTGATTCCTCTTGCGACCAGTGCCACCGACCCCGGCGCCCCCGACCCGTGACATGACGATCCCCGAGTCCAGGTCGTCGTCGAAAGGGACGCCCTTGCTGGATGCGTCGGTGGCGACGCCGGTGGTGGTGCCGACGGTGGGTTGCGCCCCCACAACGGAGAGCACTCCCTCCTCGTGCAGCCGTCTGATGGTGTCCTCGTCGCTGACCCGTCGCGCCACCTCGTTCAGCGGGATCCGCCGTCCGGTGTCCTGAGGACAGAACCATTGTGGGTGACAGGCGAGCCGTACCCTGTTCCAGTTCTACAAGTGCACGCTCGATGTGAAGAGCCCGCAGGGCACCAGGCCAGGGCTGTGTGGGCTACTGCCTGGCCACCACCGGGCTACTGCTGGGCTCGACCTACCCTCGTCCTCCTCAGACCCAAAGAGAGCGGAGAGCGTTGTCTCCAGGCCTGGCAGGTGCCGCGGCGTGCAGTATGACCAGTCGAGCGGCTCGTCGGATGGCTCGTAGGACGGCTCCACTAGCCGTTCTCGAAAAGCGACAACTGCAAATTGGACGGTCGACCACGGCCGCCGTCGGCCCCGACTGCCACCGCGACTGTCTGCGCGTAACGGCGTGTCAGGATGACTCGGGGTGACTTTGGACCGCCCGCGCCCGTTCTCTGGTCCCAAACTCTCCCATACCCCAACCAGATGTTTGTGGGTTCATGCAAGACCCAACTCAGTACCCCTCACCGTACCGTGTCTTGCTTGATGAGCGGAACTGTGCCCCCCCCCCCGGTTTTACTGTAGCACAATGACGCCAGCGCCTGCAACGCGCTGGGCAGGCCAACCCGCCAATCAGCTGTGTGGAGGTGGCGGCCCGCCCGGAACGCCTACGTGCAAGGTCTTGCTGTTCAGCTTGGGGCGCTTTTGCTACGACGTTTCCTTGCGGACGCAGGTCCCGTTGTTGAACGGAGAAGAGATACCAAATTTGTACAGTTGACCATAAAAAGACTTACCTGAAATATTGCGCTTCTTCCCACGTCGTCGATGTGTGGCCTGGGCTGGTCGATGTAAGTCTTCCTGACGGTGTGCTCCCCTTTCGACCTCTGTCGCTCTTCGGCCTCCTTGCTGCTGGCCTCGGCGTCCAGACGGCGGATCGTGTCGGCGGCCCTGGCGCGCCTGGCTTCGGTCGTGCGGTTAGTCCTCGGCGTTGGCCTCTGCTGCGGCTGCTCGCGGGGGGCCGAGGCCAAGGAAGGCGCCTGGACGGCTGCGGCCTGCGCACCCTGGGTTGAGCGCCGCCCCCCTGGCTGCGACTGCTGCTGCGGTTGCTCGCGCGTCACCGAGACCACGGTGGGCGCCGGAACGGCTGCGTCCTGCGCGCCCTGGGCTGAGCGGCGACCTCCCGGCCGCGGCCGCTTCAGGACGTCTCCGTCCTGGAGAGCCTTCTGCCGCTCCCTCTCCCGCTCCTCCCGCTTCTTCTTGTAATGACTCATGTAGGTCTCCCCACGTACGTAGCGTTGATGCGCACCCCGAGTGTCCAGCTTCGTGCTGCCGTTCACTTTCAAGGCGCCGGTCTCCCCCCTGACCCCGTCGGGCCGAGCGTCCGTAGACCGACTGCGTCCGCGCGCTGCCATCGCGTCCTCTTCTAGGTCGACGCCGAGGCCGCTGCGCGGCGTGGGGCCTTCGGACTCAGCCCTGCCTCTGCTGCCGGGCGCGCCGTCGCGGGAGCGACTGGGCCGAGACGTGGAGTTTGGTCGGTGTTCCTCCACCTGTTGGTAAAGGAGGACACGCAAAAGTTGTCTGAAAATTGTCTGTTTTTTGCAGGCAGGAAAATCAAAGGTAAGTATAGGGAACGCAACCCACCTGCAAGTGGCCCAAGCCCGGGCTGTGCCCCGGGCTGTGCCCCGGGCTGTGCCCCGGGCTGAGCCCATTAGGGCTGCGGCTGCGGCTCGGACTCGGCTTGTCGCCAACCAGCTCGCGCACGGCCTCCGCCACGGCATCCTTGACGGCCGACAGCGCCGCCATGTCGAAGTACCCCGAGTCCAGGTAGCTGGCGGGGTGCGCCCTCTCCGCGAC